ACATTTCTGCAAAGATCTCCCTCCTTCTCTTAATAATAAATATTTTGAGTTACTTTCTTTTTCTTTGATATGAAAATAGTGTAAGCTCTTGTTTAATTGTTTCACATCTACTGTAAACATTATAATTGATTATAGGAAACTATATCAAATGTTGCCCCCTACAGATGGGGTAATTATTGATCACTGGGGTAATTCATGATCATTGTCATTTCTTTTCATAAATAGTATTAAAATAAACTAATAAATAGCTAATTGTCTTTTCTTAAGTAACAGTTCATATTTTTCAAATGAAACTATAAAATATATTTTAACTCAATTTAATCACAAAATTTGTTTTTAACCGTATGCTAGACAAATGTGTTCCAATTTGTCTTACCTTGCTTTTATCTTAATTTTATGTGTGTACATTGTTAGAATAAATTTTAAGTTTATAAATTAGCCTAATATAAATATGGTGAGAAATTATAAGCCTAAAAAGGATACAAAGCTTCTAGAAAGCAAAATTAGTTCTAGTAATTAAAATTTCTTAATTAGTAAATTTCTTTTAGTGATTGAAAATGAAAATTTCAGTGTGAGAGCTGTTGACATACCTTACTTAACTTTACACTCTCCCTTAATGAAGTTACAAAATCCAGCAAAAGTAACCCATGTGGGAACTCTTTCTTATATTCCAGCAGAACATGAGAATAAGTTAGCTGCTTGCCTAAAATGTATGGCAGGATACAAAGATTTTTGGAAAATTTAAAGTGCTAACCTTTATTTTTTCTTTTTAAATAAATCGTTTTATTAGCTGCTTAAGCATATATTTTTGGTTTATTTGTTTGATCTTAATGTATTATTTGTTAATTGCCACTGCATAATTATTTTTAAACAGCCCCATTATGATTAAAACTGGTGATCAGTAATTACCCCAGAAGTGATCAGGAATTACCCCAGAAAGGATCAAGAGAAGGGGTAAGTCCTGATCACTAAAAATTTAAAATATTTTATATTCTAATTAGATTTTCAAACAAAACAAGGTAGCCTGGGACTCATCTCATATAGCCTCAAACTTACAGTAAATATTATAATTCTATCTTGAATAGTTTTTTCACAAAATAGATGTTTGCATTTTTTGATCAGGAATTACCCCAGGTCACCCTAATAAATACATAGCACTAAAAAAATCATAGTAATAAAAAATGCATACAGTAAGTATTATTACAGTCATATAAGATAATGAAAATGCCTTGCTTTCTCTGTGGCTGGCAGTAGAATCAAATTTTCACCTATACCTGGCTAACAACTTTAGCACCGTGAAACTCAGAGCAACACATACAAACATAACATGGAAAAACAGCAACATGGCAAAAAAAATTTTTTTTTCTAACCATTAAAATAAATATTTAAGTCATGTCAACAGGTTCAATAAACTTTTGTACAAGGTAAAGTTAACAGTCAACACTGCTTATGTGGACGTATTGGCTGCAAGTTGTAACTTTGGACGTCAAAAATGCTTCCCGTCTACATTTAATTATTATTACTTTTAAATATAGATGGAATTAAATTGAATATATTACATCATTCTGAATTTTATTTATAGCTTGTTTCTTAAAAGGATGCATTTTTAGGAATAAGCTTTGTAAGGTTCATAATTATTTTTGGAAATATTTAAAAGAAAGTTTTACATTAAGATTCAAAATGTTCAATTTTTGATAAATTAACCACATTTTAAAAAGATTAGCTACTGGCCAGTATGAAAGTTTTCTAATTTTCTCTATAGAAGGATTGGGCTATAAATCGATGGAATTGTTTTTTTTTATTTTTGGAGATGTTTAAAAGAAAGCTTTACATTAAAGATTTAAAATGTTCAATTTTTGAAAAATTAACCACACATTTTAAAAAGTTGCTACAGTTTAAAATGCTACAACTAGCTACTGGTCAGTATGAAAGTTTTCTAATTTTCTCAATAGCTATACCCATAGCCGAAGAAAAAATCTGGTAGATTTTAGGAAATAATACAAGTTTCATGATAATTGGTGTATAATGTAAGAAATATTTTACACATAGGGAATTTTCGTTTTTTTTTTATAATCATCAAAATAGAAAAACTGCAATATTTTCCACTTATGATTGACATTAAACATATTTAAAATGTTATGTATTATATTTACTCATAATTTTGAATATTAATATACATTTAATTCATCAAAGATGAAAAGATTTTTTTAATTAATTCGAAAGAGTTCTGAATAATAATAAACTGAAAATTTTCGAGCAAGAAAAGATTTGAACTGATTTCTATAAATAAGGTAGGCTTCATTATGTATCAGTAATACTTTTTTAAATATATAAGCAATTAAGCAACAATCTCTATGAAAATTCTATTTCAATACGCATTTTTTTACAAAACTTACTTAATTTTAGGAAATTTTCTAAAATGTAAAAAAAAAAAAAACAGAAGAATTTTAATAAAACTAGTAGACCAGGAGAAACTGGAAAAATCCAGTAGAGTTCGCAGTTATCTATATGCACTGGTACAGTTAAAGAAAGATTAAATAGTTTAATGAACTAATTCAGGGATTAGTCATGGATCAGAAAGA